CGGGAGCAAGGCGGTGGCGGCGGTTTCCAACGGGGCTTCTTGGGAGAAATCAAAGAGGAAAGTTAAGGAAAGTCTAAGGTATGTTCTTAATCAAGAAATTTTTTAATTTTCCCATAGATTTCTTCAGTTGAAAATCTAGGTTTTTTCTAAAACTTAAAATTTTTGGGAAAAACATATTAGGGAAGGATGTAGGAATGATTTTAAACATAAAATTTAAGTTTTCCCAAATTATTTTAAAGATTCCATAATTAGGGTTTTTCCAATTTTTAATTTCCATATTTCTTAATGAATATTATTTCTAATGGTCTTAGGGAAGTTTTTAAGGGTAGGAATTAGGGTTTTTCATACAATTTTATTTTCCTAATTTCTAATTAAATAAAATCCGAAAATAGAAAAGTCCTCGTTATTAATTAAATGATTGAGAATATTTGACATTGCTAATATAAAGAGATTAATGAAAATTTTGTTTCCAAATTTAGGGTTTTAGGTTAAATCCGAAATTTTTTTATTTTTAGTTATTAATTAGGTTAAGGGAAATATTTTAACATGCAAATGTATTGAAATTAGTGAAATTCATGTTTCCAAAATTAGGGTTTTTGGATAAAACCGAAAATAAAAGTTATTTTAAATTAATTTAGGAATTGGTGAAGGTTTAATTTGGTAAATTATGGATTTAGACAAAAATTATGGATTTTTAATATTAGAGATTATTTAAATCCGAAAATAATGATATTAACATTTATAAATGAAAATAAAATTTGATTATTTATTGGGTAATAAAAATTTACATGCTTTTAGATATTGAAATTAAAGTGAGAGATTAGGGTATATTTAAAAGAGAAGAAGAATTGAGTTTGAAATTATTAAGTTAAATTACGAATGAGAAATTATTTTATAGAGGTGAAAATCTTTTGACCTCGAAGGAAGGAGTATGAGTGAAGAAATTAAATCTCTTGAATCAAAGTGAGTACTCATGATTTTTTATTACACTGATAGTTTTGTTTCTCTCCAATTAAATGTTTTGAAAGTCAAAGCATATTTATGAAATCTTTATTGTTTATTAGATTATGATTTATATCTCTCAAACCCAATGATTGATCATGTTGAGTTAAATGAAAATTTTCATGTTGCATTTCATTACATTATCATATAAAGTTCATATATTATAATAATGAAATGAATAGATATATGTAATTGCATGTGCATGTTGAATTGATGGAGTCCATCCCCTTATGGTATTGATTGGGGACGCAATGTACCCGTGTATGTTAATGGTAAAGGAAAAAGAAGTGGGAAAGGAAAAGTACTTTCATTGGTAATAAATTAGACGATGACTCCTGTGACGGTTGCATTTCTTATGATAAATGAGAATGATATAAATACAGATATGACGAATGCAAATTGAATATGATATGATATGCATTTATGGATTCTGCATAACATTATGTATTGAAAGATATGATGAAATAAATGATATGATTATATGAAATGAAAATTTAAGTTATGTAATAAAAGAGATTATGTATATTACTTCTACTACCATGAGTTACTGTAGTTTAGAAATATGTGTTACTTGCTAAGCTGTGGCTTACTGTTGTTGCTCTTAAATTTTTTTCAGGTGTAACCTAATAAAATCAAAATGAGAAGAAGTGGAAATGTATATCGTAGACGTAATGCACCCAACGAGAGGTATCGATTATTTTATTTAATTTGTTCAAATTTGAAGTTTAGTGGCTCTTTCAGTATATTGGAGATAGATTTAGTTATAAAAAAAATTAATCTATCGTTCGATCGTCTGTTCCCGCCTCATTAATTCGACCCCTGGGGCAGGGTCGTGACATGTCCAATCGAGAATATTACTAAGATTCATTCTAAAATAATTTTCTATCAGCATGGACGTGGTATTTGTCCTTTAACTAATGTCTTTGCCCAACAGCTCCATAAAATCCATATCTTGGTCCAATAGCTCTACATGATAAACGGTTATGACTAATCATCTAATCGGTGACTTGTCCCAATGGCTCCACAAAGAACTCGTGGTCTTACCGAATGGCTCCTTGTAGTAACTGATCATGATCGAGGCCCTCTTATATGGTGGTTTGATCCAAGCGCTCCACTATATTATGGTCACGATCAAGACCTTCATGTTCTCGAATGACTAATGCCTTTGCGTAATGAATCATACTGTTGAAATCCAGCCGATGTTGAAATCCAGCCGTTCCTAGTACAAAGAATCCAACGGACACAAAGATCAACCTAGTACAAAGAATCCAACGGACACAAAGATCAATCCGTGGGATACTCTCATGGATCACGCCATAATGAGGGAACGAATTTAGGAAAGATTTTATTATCTTATTTGTGTATTAAATCTGCAATTTATTATTTCCGCATTTGGACTCTTGTATAGATCTATAAATAGGGAAAATTGTGATGAATAAAAACAAGCTTTTCCCTCTCAAATTCTCTAGTTTTAACACATACGATATAATCTGCAGGGCAGTAATCCCTCTATTTGCTACAGTTGATTTGAATTTGTCCTTTAGACAACATCTACCTCAGGTCTATAAGGTGCCCTCTGCACGTAGCAACCCATAGTTGCCGACAAAGATTCTTTTGATCATGTTGGGTTGACTATCTTCTCTAACTAAGTAGATTAGGATCCGTGACAATCCTGGAGGGTCGTCATCATTCCCCCCACCATTCACTTTAAGAAGCAGTGATGAATTTTTAATTTAAATTCTAAAATTAATGTTATTACATGCCATGTATTTAGTGCATTTTAAATGACTAGCCTTAACAACAGTGTTCTCTCGTTATCGGGAGGGGTAATTAATTATAGGGGCTTGTTCCTGTAGGAAATCAGAACTTATATCTTAAAATCCTCGTTAACGAGGGTAAAATTTATGAATAATACTTTTTCTCTATCTAATATGACTTTCAAAAAATATTGTTGGAACATAATTAAGTAAATTCTCCCCAAATATATACAGAGAGGCTTGGGCCCCAAAAGCTCAAATTTTCGGAGAGGATTGGGAACTGAGAAGATGGCTTAGATGAATGTGATGATTTAATTGATTTTGAAGAACATCGTTGCATGCGATACTCCTATCGCTCCCATTAAATAACATGCCACAAGCAACATCCTAATTGTTCCACTAACAAACTCAGTACCCCCAAAGCTTTTGAAAGTGTTTAGTGCTCCTGATGTGAGAAATGGATCAAATCTTATTATGTCAATCAAAATATTCTAAGTATATTTGAGCTTGTGACAGTTGCTCATCTTGAAACTCTCATTACTAAGAAAGTGAAGGCCATTATAACATCGGTGAAGATAGAGAAATTGGTGAGCAAAGGTGGCCCGTATCTTGCCAAGTACGACCAGATGTCATATTCGAAGAGTTATTCGGTATTGAAAGTTAATACATATAATGACAATGGTAATCCTAAATAATACTTGGCCTAGTTCAAAATGACTTGTGATAATATTGGAGTTTTTTATTATCTAATCTTCCATCAATTTGTTAGTTGTCTAAATTCGACTTATTTTGAATGGTATGATGAACCCCCAATGATTATGTGAAGATATTTGTGGAATTAGAAATTATTTTCGTGAACAGATTCGCCCTTAAGAAGTGAAGAAGGGAGGAGCTTGTGATTGAGTGTGTAGCTCCATGATGCAATATAAGCATGAAATACGAATAACATGAAGAGGAACATGATGTTCAACTATTAATGGGGAGCATCGATTATATGATGTTACCATTTTTATGCATGACATCGATAACTACATTTCATGAGCTATTGGGCAAGATGATGAAGTTTGAGAGATTGAAGTTGTTCAAGTTTGAAGACCATTCATGCAAATTAAAAAGGATAAAGCTTCGTATAGTAGTTAGAATGAAGTACGATCCATTTCTTTGAAGGTGAATAAGGGAAAGTAAGTAGCCTATAATGTTGGTGAGGAAAAGCAACATGCTTAGAAAGATGATAGCTGAAAATAACCGGTCAACTCTAAACCTTAGTCAAACTTGTTGTTGGGAAAAAATGATAAACCTCGATCTTTCCTTGTCAAAGGAGAGATTCAAAATAAATAGTAGGGAGTGATTGAACATTCCTATCCCTCAAGAAGAAAATGAATGAATAAATAATTATGTTTCAAGAGGAAAAGTGTAGTTATGTTGTTTTGGAAACGCCTAAAGTAGGTCTTGAATTGTCAGAATCCAAAAGAATTGAAGAGATATCAAATTGACAACCTTAATTATTGCCCATATCACAGAGTAATTGGCTATCCCATTGAAGATTTTCACATCTTCAAAGACTGTCTCTAAAGAAAATTCAAAAAATGAAAATTCTCGCTGTCAAGTAATTGCAATATTTGCTGGTAAGAAATCAAGTCGATTAATAATACCAAATGTTTTCTATCATTCTTCTTGCCTCACCATGCATCTCAATGCGCACTGATAAGCTTAAGAAGCCTTTTCCAGTTTTCATATGCTATCCAGATAATTTAATTATTTACATGTAAAATTTACTTAATTCCCTTCGATGATATTTTGTCCCTTTTTGCCTCAGCTATTTGTTATGGCTTATGTATCTTCTTTATTGATTTCATAATAAATCACTTCCCATGGACATTATAGTTTAAATCAGTCGTTGTGTTCTTTCCAAGTTCTGATAGTGTAGATTAATTTGCAATTGGCTTTGATAGATTCTGCCCCTTTAAAGTATGCTTATGCGGAACTGGAAGAGTCTCGTGGAGCAATTCAGGTCTTAATTAGTTGTGCTTTATGAGCAAGTGGTTCAGTTTTTAAAAGGTTAAACTATGTTGTTCCCTCTTCTTATAGCCCGCCAAGAAAATTTATGAAAGTCTTATTGATAACAATGCTAGTGTCACATCACTTGCACATATTCAGGCAAGCGGTTTCTGTTTCTTTTAACCCTTCGCTGTATTTTGAAATATTTTCATTTTATTTTTCACCGAGATCTTTCTACCTGTTCCAGTTCATTAAGTTTTTAAGGAGAACAGAAGGCATTGAAGTTGCTCGCAAATATTTCCTAGATGCTCAGAAGCTCTCAAACTGTACTTATCATGTATTTGTTGCTTATGCTATGATGGCATTTTGTCTTGACAAAGATGTAAAGGTTTGGGCATTTCTTCAACCGTTCTAACTTGTTGCAAACCATTTAACTTTGGTTTATAAATTCGACAAATTGATTATTATAATCATTCTTTCTACTCTTCTGCTTTTGTTCTAAACAAATGGTGTTACATAGGCTTGTCCGGTTTTCAGTTTGCTACAAAGAACTTGAGAATTTATCAGAACTTGTTCAGGTTTCAAATAGGTGCTTGCACATTATATATTAGATTTCTTTACATATTTTATATTCTATTTTCGTAGTACTGATACTGAGCAGATTTGTGATGATCTCATGACCAAAACATGAAAAAAAAAGATTTTAGTCCATTAGGTTTTGATGGAGCTGCATATGATGTACTAGTAAGGTCTATTGTATTGGAAAGTGTTATATTATGGAGACATGGTTTTATATTCTCATAATTTTAGATATTCTTATTTTTATTTGTTCCACTTTTTTATCCTTTTGCATGCCTATATATAGGCCCACGTGTTTAGTCAATAATACATTAAATGGATTTTGTTCTAATATGATATCCAAGCCAGGTTGGCCTTGCCCTAGACCACTACCCCAACCTCTCAGCCCAAGCTTATGCTCATGCATAGCTAGCTGCACACCGCAAGCTCGACTCCATGACTTCCTATGCTTGTTCACAACATGCTTCACTTTGCGCGCTCACTTTTGTTTCGCATATTGTGCTAGCAGACATGCTTTGCCTTGTGCACTTCTTCACATGATGCATGCTCGCTTGCTCGTCATACATCAAGTTTGCACCTATGCCAATAACCACACAATTACTTGCTAGTTGTGCGATCTTCCCTTGTCGCATCTACGCTGCCATCCTCACTCATGCTAGCTGCAGTTGCTAGTATGCCCTCAAAGGTAATTATTCTCCTTTAGGGCATGTCACCACCATGACTTCCATAGTGTATGTGCTCTAGGATTTAATTTTGCTTGTATCCTGTTCTCCCTCTCTCCCAAAATATGTCATGGATTCTCTCTCCTAGTTCAGTCAGTGAAAACCCTCTTCTACTATCGGTAAGAGTATAAACTTTACTGGTACCAACCTCCTTTTATGGTCAAGGGCATTTCTCTTTCTTGTCGGTTTATGAAACTTCATTTTCTTGATGCTTCTTCTCTAGATACCAATAACATTGCCAAATTCTCCAAGTGGAAAGTGTCCATTATGTTCTTCTTAGTTGGTTACTTAACAGTCTTGAATCACTTGCTGCTTTAATTATTATATTTCAAGGTTTTTTTAAAAGATGTGGGATTTTCTTTTATACATAGACCTTTTAGGGAAGTAATATCTTATTTGTCTTTACACTTAATACTTAACATTTTTTTTCTCATAAGCAAAATGCCATTTTGATCTCAAAGTTTTAGATCTCACTCTAAAAGAAATGGGATGAGTTATGTTAATGTTGCCCCTTCACCACTGATCCTACTATTATAAAAGTAGAATGAAAAGTTTCTTGTCATCAAACTTATCTTTAGCTTGCATCCTTCTCTACAGGTGTAAAGGCTTAATTGATAGCTAATTTTATAGCCTCTTACATTTTTGATGATGTGCTTTCCTGAGTTCTCCACATCACATAGCTATCTACGTTTTCACCTTTCACTTTTAACCAATTTTCCTTAGCCACTGGTTTTAGTGGTGTTAATGGCTATATATAGCCTTTTACATTTTTGATGATGTGCTTTCCCAACACCCTTGTTACATCCACACCAACTATCTTCATGAACATTTTTGGGAGAAATTCAACTATCCTTACATTGATAAACATAGTTCTACAACCCGTTCGAACCTTGCCTACTTCTAATGCCTCGTCTTTTCTCTCTAAGAAGGCTATGATCGACTGCTTCCATAGTCTTAATCACCTGTTTTAGCATCTCATGTTGTCTCTTCCTCTTGATCAACTATACCTTTCTCTATTGGTACGCCCTAGATTTTAAACTCTGGTTCCTTTTTTTCAAAATGATAAATAGCTACAAACCCTTCTATCTCACCACATATCTTCTCTTCCTCTTGTGATTGTTGCTAATGTTTCTTCATCTCCCGTCTTTGATAAAGGCATTATGAATTGTTTGAAAAATCTGTATCTTTTTCTCTCTTAGATGTTTTGTATGTCTCATACTTTATTGTTTATTTATTATCTATTAATTTCTTATAAATGCTGATCATAATTGTTTTCAACCTTTTATCCTTATCGTTGTGTCTTTAAAGACCTGAGTTCAAAGAAGATGATGGTGTAGGTGCTAATGCTAGTAGAGTCAACTACCAGACAATAGATGCTACTTTTACCCTCTCCACCATTATAACTCCTTTTTATTGGCATTGTTGGCTAGGTCATCCTTTTCTCAATAGACTTTGGAATTTTATTTTTGTTTCTTCATCTTTTCATAGATTTAATTTATTGCCTATGAATTGGTTAATATGTGTGTCATTTCATCTTACCAATGGTTGTCATCTTGTTCCTTTAAGTTAGTTAACTTAGACAGTTGTGATTATATTCATGCCCTTATTTATCTAGGATTTTTCTATTTTGTTACATTCATTGATGATTTTTGCAGGTTACTTGTGTTACTCAAATGTCACTTAGAGGTCATTCATTTACTTGAAAATGTTTCTTAGAATTTAACCAAATTAAAATTCTTAATTCAACTACATCAGCCGGGTTTATGGGCTTGTGGGCTCCAAAAATTCGACCCCGGCCTCCGCCCGAACGCGATTGTATTTTTGTGTGTGCTTTTTATGTGAGCGAGGGGGAGTTTTAACGAACTAAGTTCTGGGGTAAATTTTGGGAAGGCAGATGGGGGGGATAAGACACTACCCAGAGATTTTGCCCTCATTTTTGCGTGGACATTATGATATGAGTTCTGGTTTCTTATAGACGCAAGCCCCTATAGTTAATTACCCCTCTCAATAACGAGAGAGAACTTTCGATTAAGGCTAGTCGTCAATCAGATATGTAGAATACGTATTATCTAGCATATAGTATCAGCATAGGTTTTGGGTATATGAGTTGGGTTTGGATTTGGGAATTTGGAAACTTTGATATTTAAAATAGAAATTTTCATCATCTTGCACTTAAAGCGGATGGTGGGGGAATGGATGATGGACCCGATCAAGATCCCATGGTTCCGTCATCCCGGACCATCGTAGTCCCTGGTCTACTTAGTCAGAGGAGGTAGTCGACCCAACCTGACAGAAGGATCCTTGTCAGCAGCCATGAGTTGTTTCGTTCAAGGGTATCTTATAGACCTGGGATGGATATTTGCCTAAGGGGACAAATTTGAATCCACATTAGCTAACAGAGGACTTTGTGCCCTATCGATCATATCCTATTTATTTATATCTCAAGGATTTGATGCTACTAAGGAGCGTATTGGCTCTGGCCATAACCGGTATCTGTGGTGCCATTTGGCGGCAAAACCACTCGGTTCAGAGGGCCCCGGGTCATAACCGTTTATCCTGCGGTGCCATTTGGGGGCAAAACCGCCAGTTAGAGGACACGTACCACGTCCTCCTTACTAGCAGGAGATTATTTGAGAATGGATCCTAGTGATATTTTCGACTAGGCATTTGGCTCTTTGTAAGCTAAAGTTATATTTGAATTTGTCCACCTCGGCAAACTGTTGCGGAGGGTGGATGGATTTTGCTTTAAGTATGGATGGTTGGATTTTAAATTTAAAATATTTTGGAATTTTTGGAGCTTGGAAGGCATTTAAAAGTGTTTGTGAACCCCTCTGGTTGAGATAAACATTCAACACGGCCATCATCGGGGCGTTTGGGGTTATTCATTTTTTGGATTTAACCATGTTGACTCGTCCGGGTTGTTGACCGAGGATCAGGTTTCTCGTAGGCCTTGTGCCTTTGCGAATGAATTTCTTTTGTTCTAGACCTTGAAGACTTAATATGCATGTATAAGATAAATATTCTGGTTGACTTCGTGACAGCATATCTATCCGATGGCTTGAACCCTGTCCACTCCTATTTACTTGCTTAGGAGGATCGGGTTCAGATTTAATAACCCGCGTAGCATCCCTAGACGTCACGTGTGTACCTATAACACGCTCGCCGGGGCCCATGCGGGTTTGGGAGTATTTGGTAATTATTGACTGAACATTGTCAACTCCTATTTACTTGCTTAGGAGGATCGGGTTCAGATTTAATAACCCGCACAGCATCCCTAGACGTCACGTGTGTACCTATAACACGCTCATCGGGGCCCATGCAGGTGTTTGGGAATTTCATTAATTTGACATACCCCTTTGTGTACTTATGTGTATACAAGCTACGGTGCTCGTGCAGGGGTATTTTGAAAGTATTTGTGGATGCTTTCTGTCTGCTTGTATGAATGTTGCGGATCCGGTGGCGTTGCATTGTAGATTGTATACGCCTTCTGTCTGCTTGCATAAGCATTGCAGATCCGATGGCGTTGCATTGTAGATTGTAGACGCCTTATGTCTGCTTGCATAAGTGTTGCAGATCCGGTGGCGTTGCGTTGTAGATTGTAGATGCCTTCTGTCTGCTTGCATAAGTGTTGCAGATCCGGTGGCGTTGCGTTGTAGATTGTAGACGCCTTCTGTCTGCTTGCATAAGTGTTGCGGATCAGGTGGCATTGCGAAGACACCTTCTGTCTGCTTGCATAGGTGTTGCAGATCCGGTGACGTTGCGTCTTGATGTTACGAGGTATCTCCTCATCTTGATATTGTCTCCCCTTTTCTCATTCACCGGGGAGGGTTTCTTCTAGACTTTGAAGTTCGCTGCTTTGCCTTGAAAAAATCTCTTTTCAAGTTCTTTAGTGTAATAGACTTTTTTTTTTTGATATTTGTAGATGCAAGCACTATCTTCTTCTTAAGTGCAAGATCAAGCAGAAATTTAGGAACACCCGGAAGTTTAGTTCGAATTTGCTCAAACATCTCCTCCATTCTGCCAGGGGGTGTCCTTTTTGTATATAGAGTCACCCTTGTACCCAATCGTACTTGAAGACTTTAATCAC